ACAGGCCTGGGGCTAAAGAATCGTTGCCCCTATCTCGAATGGTATGATTGTTGCGTTTTAACTATGCATTGTTTTGTGTTGTTTTAATTTTTCATTGTATCTCCCTTCCCCAGTTGAGTTGTGAGCCGCCCTGAGTCCCCTTCGGGGGAAAAGGGCGGCATATAAATAAAATCAACATTCAACATTCAACATCTGTGAGGTCCTTGGTGATCTCTGACCCTGGTGGTTTTCTTGCAGGCATTTCATGACTAGGTGACATTATCAATGCTACCCACATCAGTATCATTATTGATATCACTTAGTTGGGTCATGCAAGAATGACAGCCAAGGTTAGAGAGCACCAAGGACACCATGGGTAGTTTGCTGAAGAGATGATGGAGGAGAAATATAATAGCAGTCTACAAATGGCTTCAAAAAGGTGTCCCATGCAAGAGGACATCTTCTCTGTTGAGAAGGACAGCATAGCCTCCAACATCTCTGCACCATCAACATTCACCCAACATTCTCATTGGCTTCAACTTTCTTGGGGGGAGGAAAATGGGGAACTCCTTTCTCATTCCTAATCCACGTTGGAATCATTTTGACGTAAATCTGGAGGGTTAATTTCCCAGGGTATAATTCCGGACCACAAGCATCTTCACATGTCCGATATTAATTTTGATTTTTTTTTTATTTCAACATGCTCTTTAAAGAACCAAGTATAAATATTACGTCCTATGAGAAATTCCAAGGAAAGTCAGTTATAAGAAGGTGGAGTCCATGTTGCAAGATTGCCTAACTTCAACTGGGAATGTTGGAAAGAACGAGGGGCTGGGATTGGGGATCCCAGTAGAAGAAATGGCTTTCGCTTTATGGCCAAGCAAGGATGGGGAGCGGGCCATCATCGCTGGAGCCTCTTCCTTCCTTTTTCTCTTCTGTCCTGCTTCTCTTACGATATCTACTCCCTCTCTGGTCCTCCGGGGGGCAAGGCCAAAGCAGGCTGATTGCCAGGTTGGGCAAAACTTGGATTCCAGTTGTAAGAGTCATAATGACCAGGGGGTGAAAATTTGGGGTCCGGTGGCTGTTGTAATTGATGTGAGGCCCAAGACACCCCAAACTGCCCAAAGGCCCTTGGCCTAGGATACCACTTCCGGGGAGTTGTCCTCAAAGGTAGTGTCATCCCCCATCGGGCAGGCCCTGTCCAGGGACGCTGAGTAGCATGGGTTTTTCTCCACGCAGGAGTCATGGTTCCCCACTTTGATGGCCTTGTCCCAGGAATTAAGTACCATCGCGTGGGAGGAAGCATGTACCACTGTGAATGCTTCCACACAGGAGGAGGCCTGGGAGCGGGTGTAAACCGAGGGAAAGGGGGAGGCCTACGGCCAATCGTGAACCTAGAGGAAGGGGGAGGCCTGTACGCAGGTGTGAACCGAGGGGGAGGCATGGGCCCAGGGGTGAACCGAGGGGGAGGCCTGGGCCCAGGGGTGAACCGAGGGGGAGGCCTGGGCCTAGCTGGGAACCGAGAGGAAGGTGGAACCATGGGCCCAGGGGTGAGCGAAGGGAAATCTGGATGCCTGGGTGGGGGGGCGGGCTTGGGGCGCTTCCAAATCATATTTTGAGTGCTGGGTTGGACCGGGGCTGTTGGCGTTGTAGGAGGCCAAACCTCAGCCATCACTGGCCTGTGGGTAGCCTTGTAAAGGTTCTCCTTGGTGATGGCTGTGATCCAGTCCATGTAGAGTTGTGTGGAGATGAAGACACCTGGCTTCCGAACTTCAGCACATGTCATTGGTCCCCAGCTAGTGACTCCAATGACCCAGTACCTCTCGGATCTTTCTTCCCTACACATGAGAGGCCCTCCGCTGTCACCCTAAAGGAAGAGGGGGAGAACATTCAACATTAGAAGGCGGCTTCAGAGGAAAGGCCTAACCTTCCAGAGGTCAACCTTTGATGCTCTACTCAAGTCCCTGAAAGCCCAGCTACGTCATCGGCCTAGATCCACCTACCTGGCATGTTGTAATTTCTCCACCCTCGGTTCCAGCACAGATGTTCTCAGCCAGGATACGCTTGCTCCACCACAATGAGCTGCTGCATTTGGTGTGAGGTATGAGTTTAACAACCCCCTCCTGCAACACGTCCGGCAGCCGTTGGGCTGTGAACAGAAGCCAGAAGAAATCACCAGCCTGCATTTCTCCCATGCCCAAGGATTCACGGGATGGAACACACTCCAACAGAATAACGGGAGCTGGAAGGGACCTTGGAGGCTTTCTAACACAACCCACTGCTCAAACAGGAGGCTCTCTACCAATTCAAACAAGTGGTTTTCCAATCTCTTCTTTAGAACCTCCAGCGTTCGGGCACCCATAACTTCTGGAGACAAGCTGTTCCATTGATTAATAGTTCTAGGTTGGTTCTCTCCTTGATTAGTTTCCATCCATTGCTTCTTATCCTGCCTTCAGGTGCTCTGGAGAATAGGTTGAAACCCCCCCTCCCTTCTTTGTAGCATTAGGACCACTGATTCAGGGACTCAGCTCTAAAGTTTAGGACTCTGGAGTTTCCCACCAGGACGTAGCCTGGAGCTTCCTCACATTCAGGCAGCCAATATGAGAGGGATTTCTGCAGAGGGTCCCGGAGATGATCTGGGAAATCAAAGGCCGATGCAACTTAAATTACGTTGCAGAAGAATTAGTAGAAATAATGAGAAACAAAAATTATTAGGACAATCCGTATAATCCAGGTTTTCTGGCTTGAGTTCCTTAAGGTTATCAACATACATCGACAAATGTGTTCTGACCTTCCTGAGAAAGCATAAATCACAAACCTAGTCCCCAAAGCCCTCTTTTATATAGACGGCTGGGAATTATGGTCACTCACAGCCCATAATGTTTCACAAACAATCTGTGAAGAGTCCGACAGACGTCTGCTCGAGTTGCCGCAGCCTTTCAGGGCAATGTTGATAAGCCCCCACCTTTATCTCCCTTGAAACGCTGCCAGGGACCTCATTGCCAATTAGTGTTGCAAGGCCAAACGAAGCACAAACAGGACTAGATGAACCAATTGCTTCCTGCAAAGGCTCACGCCCGTTTGCTCCTCTTTTATGTCTTATGGGAGGGGCCAATCATCTCCGAGCCTTACTCCCGAGTCGCCCCTCTTGTCTTAACTGTTTTTGCCTTCCGGCAGTTCTGCACATGCGGACACTGGGCTCATGCTCAGCCTGTTCTTCTGCCTCACTGATGTCAGGCTCTGGAGGCTCCGGAGGCAGCACGTAACTACCAGATGACCCTGGCCCCCTCTCTGCCTCTGACGCAGAGCCCTCCTCAGAGCCTTCCCCAGACTCTAAGACTGGCCCCTGTTCCTCCTCAACCTCCTCACTCTACCACTCTGCTACTAGCTCCGCAAGCCGCCGGCAGACCACAACAAAATGCATAGGTCCCCATTCAAAGGGAAAGGATTTGAACACACGGCTGTGGCTTCAATCCTGACTTTTCTGACCGACCAAAGAAGGTTCTGTACTTGGGGCAAAAGATCCTCCTTCTTCGACATCGCTTTGATAGGCCTTTCCTGCCCCTTGTCCAGTCCCACCCTGTCCTTTTGAGAGTCCGGTGCCTGGCAGGGGGGTGGTACAATTCCCAAGTGCAGCCTCACAGAGACATTGCATCACAGGTGGCCTCATCTGCAGCCCCTTTGAAGAGCTCCCAATAAGACCTCTGCCAATTGAAAGCAGTCAAGACCGAAGACTCTCTGGACACCTGGTTCTTGAGGGTTGTTGAAAGGCTAGATGGGGATCAGCTGAATCATTGGATTGGACAGCGGGTTGGGAAGAAGAAGATAATGTGCTGGAAGAAGGCAAGGGGACCCCACTTCCATACTATGATCAAGGGAATGATATTGGTCTATCCAAGCATCTAGTTCAATTCCAGGGAATCTTTTTGCCTGATACGCCATCACACAGGTGCAGATTTAGGATGCTCATCCCTCGTGTGCAACTCTCGAAGTTTGCTTGACTTGACCTATTTCTTCCATCTTAATTAAACATTAATACACAGGCAGGACATGAAGCAACGGATGGGAAATAATCAAGGAGAGACGCAACCTAGAACAAAGGAAGAACTTCCTGAGGGTGAGGACAATCAACCGTAGAATGGGTTGCCTTCAGACGTTGTGGGTGCTTCATCACTGGAGGTTTTCAAGAAGAGATTGGACAACACTTTGTCTGAAATGGGATCGGGTTCCCTGCTGGAGCAGAGGGTTGGGCTAGAAGATCTCCAAGGTCTCTTCCGACTCTGTTATCCTATTATTCCCCCCACCTTCCCCAGTGTGGAACCGTTTCAAGGTCTTCACACCTTGTTTTCATTATTTTCAAGGAGGAGAAAATAATGCCCAGTTACAAGAAGTCTCCCTGGGGATGCTGCAGCTCCAGGTTGGAGATGCCACAGACCCCTGGAGCCTGAGCCCCTGAGCTGAGCCAGCCTTTTTCAGGGCCCCTTTCCCCAAGTTCCTCACATGCGGCTTCCATGGTTCCCCAGCCACTGATCGAGCATTGGACCATCTGGGAGATAGTTAGACTCTTGTCGGGCAAACAAGCCGGCTGGATGTAGTCATTGCAGCTGACCGGCTCTGTCAACTCCACCAAGCTAATGTCGTGATGGATCCCTCCGTCTGTTGTGTTGAGTTCGTTCTTGTAGTGCTTGTGGTTGATCACCCTCTTGATTAAGCGGTCCTGGGTTTCAGGACCAGGTTTGGAGATCCGGTTGAGCCCAAACAACACCTTGTACCACCTGATATCACTGGAACAAAGAACAGATCCACGTCAACAGAAGGTAGAGGGTCTGCCGATGGCCCTGGAAACAGGGCAGGAGTCTCTGCTGCTGAGGACAACAGAAAGAGAAAGTCTGGACAGCCCTTCCTCTATCCCTCACTCCCTCTCCTTCCTTCCTTCCTTTTTTCCCTCCTTTCCTCTCTCCCTTTCTTTGTTCCTTCTTCCCTCCCTCCCGCCCTCTCCTTCCTTCCCTCCCTCTCCGCCCTTCCCTACCTTCCTCTCCTTCCTTCCTTTTTTCCCTCCTTTCCTCCCACTCTTTCTTCCTTCCCTCCTCTCTTTCCTTCCTTCCTTCCTTGAAACTAATCTAAGAGGGGAGAGACACTGAAGACAGGTACATAACTTTTATAAAACATTTGTGCATGAAAGAGAAGAAGAGAGAATGAGGGAGGAAGGAAGGAAGGGAGGACGGAAGGNCCCACCTCGGAAGGATGGAAGGCTGAGTCAACCCTGAGCCGGTGAGATTTGAACAGCCTGCAGTGCTGCATTTAACCACTGCACCACCTCAGCTCTGAACTGAACTTTGCTCCCGTATCTTCCCTCCCCTCAGTCTGTGTCATAAATCACATTCTCCAATGAGGTGCACACTTCACGAGCCTGCTGTGGTAATCTGAGGTCTGACTCTAGCCGAAGGTATGTGTGGAATGCGCTCCCCCCTCTTTCCTCACCATGGCTATGACTTGACAGCAGCCATATCCCCCCTTTTTTTAAGCAAAGTTTTCTTTTTGAAAAAGCCCATCAGATCCTATGAGTCTCCCTTGCATCTGCTCTGTGGGGACTGTGGATTTGAGAAAGGGAAGTGGGACAGCATTTGAACACTCCCTTCAGCCCAAAATCTCCAATCCTTTGAGTTTCCCAAATAAAACTGGTTTGGAAAAAAGAATTCGGGCCTGCCCTTTTCTCAAATCAGAATCTGTACTGGTGAATTCGAGTTTTATCAGCCTTCCAGTGAATGTTCTCACGCAGCATTTGGGAAGAAAAGTAGCCAGAGGAAGCGAGTAAAATATCTGTAGAATAGTTTATTTAGAATATATTTTGCTTCCACCCTCAAAGTGAGAATTCGCTAAGCATTTTATTAGTGTCCTTGAAAGTTGGGATTGCAAAGTGTCTCCATCTCTGCTCCACCTTCACAACCCAGAATTCCCCAGCCAGCAATTCTGGGAATTGAAGTCCACGTATTTTAAAGTTGCTTTAAAGCGGTTTTTTAAAGCAACTTTAAAATACGTGGACTTCAATTCCCAGAATTGCTGGCTGGGGAATTCTGGGAGTTGAAGTCCACATATCTTAATGCTGCCGAGGTTGAGGAAAACTGCTTTAAAGCAATGCAGTGCAATCAACCTGAGAGTTACAGAATAACAGAGTTGGAAGGGACCTTGAAGGTCTTCTAGTCCAACCTCCTGTTCAGGCAGGAAACCCTATAACATTTCAGACAAATGGCTGTCCAATCTCTCCTTTAAAACTTCCAGTGTTGGAGAATTTACACCTTCTGGAGTCAGTTCAAGTTCTTATAGACTTGGTTTGCCAGGAGTTCCAATTGTATGGTGTGACAATATCTGCCAAAGATATTTATTCTATTGAGGCCGAATGTGTTGTGGTCCATTGGTGTCCTGTGAAGCTGGCAGCAGAATCGGACAGCGAGGTGGTTGGGGAGGAACATGGGCCAATCCCGGAGTCTGGGGAAGGCTCAGACGAGGGCTCTGGGTCAGAGACAGAGAGGGGGCCAGGGCCATCTGGTAGTTATGTGCTGCCTCCGGAGCCTCCAGAATCGGACATCAGCGAGGCAGAGGAAAAAGGGGAGCCTGTTCCCAGTGTGCGCATGCACAGAGCTTCCAGAAGGCAAGAAGAGTTAAGACAAAAGGGGCGACTCAGGAGTAAGGCTCAGAGATGATTGGCCCCTCCCATGAGACATAAAAGAAGAGCAAACAGACATGAGCCTTTGCAGGAAGCAACTTTGTTCATTCTGGTCGGTTTAAACTCTGAAGCTCCGTTTGACTCTGTGCTCTGTTTGACCTTGGAAAACTAAATGGCAATGAGGT